GTAATCTATACCTTTTCTCATTACTCACAGCATACATACTAAAAATATTCTTCCTTCTCTAATCCTCTATTTCATTTCTTGTTACAGTTAGACAACACATCACATTGATTTGGGAGATCACCTATTAATTTCAACTTCTCGTCAGAAAGAGGTGTATCATCATAAATTTCTTCTAAGTTATCATTTATTGGAGTCTCAATCTCCTCTAATAAAAGAATTTAGGCTTTACATTAGTTTTTCAAATGACCCATTTTATGAAATTTAAGCAAATTGTTTTCTTATTTTTAGAACTCCTGAGCTTTTAAGCAAATTGGTCAGACAAGTAGCCGGTGTGGTTCTAATAGTATATTCATGGGATGAAATGGAGGAGGCTTGTCCTCTTGACCTTAAAACAGAAGTAAAATTCTTTTGATTTCTACTAATAAAGCATAATGAAAGAGCTTATTTAAGGTTTGGGGATCTAATAACACTACTTTATTTTTAATATCCATCCTGAGTCTGATGATAAATTTATTGCTCAGTTTCCAATCATTATCACCACAATCGGTCCTAAAAATTTGATCATCAAAGGTATTTAGGTATTCAATTGAAGGCATAGAATCTTCCTTTAGAAATAATAACTATCCATATAATTTCATATTATGGTGCCTCGGGCAGTATTTGGTTCTTAACATCTCATTCATTTCAATCCAAGAAAGATTAGTCTTCTCGAGCTATATTCTTTGGCTACAGTATTTGTTCAATATGTCCAATTAATTTCATTTTCTCAAAAAAAAAAAAAATCTCTTTGGTAATCATTCTTTATATTCTAGTAAAAAAAGTCATCCATTTAGATTAACCATACTAGGAATCTATTAGGGTCATTAGTATCATATATGTGGGAGCTTCAACTTTAACTCTCTTGAAGGTATCATTAAAATCATCAACATTCTTATGAGGGTGATCTCTTCAACCTCCATTCCAAAAGTTGGATTATATTCTATTAGATTTGTCATCTCTCCTTGGTCTATATAAGAATCATCATTTCTAAAGGAGAATTATGATTTTGGGTAGGATGTGGGATATTATTTTTATTATTTTGTAGATGACTCAAGATAGCATGCTTTTGATACTTAAGTTATTGTATTTGGATTCTATTCTCCTTAAAAAATTCTTTGTGCTTAATTTCATATTCATGAATCTTAAGGCCTATGGAATCAACCATTCCTGTCAAATTTTCAATCTGATCTTGAAAATTTTATTTGGGTGCCATGAGATGATTTTTTTTAAAATATGAAGAAAGAAATGTGGGGGAAAAGGTTATAGATGAGAGAGAGAGAGAGGGCGAGTGAGAGAAATTTCAAATATAGATGTCAAAGTAAAATGAATCTTAAGTTAAAAGAACTTTTAGGTGAGGAGTGGGGTATGAAGGCCTCTTACGTTCGAAGCTCTCCTTAAGCGATTTAGGCCCTTTTTGACAAAGTTTTTTTTTAATTCAAATTTACTAAATTTTATACACATATATTTTCCTGCATGTAATTTTGAATACAAGAATAAAACTTTCCTAGATCTATAAGCCTAAACTCTTAAGATAACAAACTATTCAAATTTTGGTAAATAAAAACTAGTTTTATCATAAGCAATTAACTTAAAAATAAAAAAGATAGCATAAAATTTTTATTGCATCAAGGTGATCTTCTAGTCTTCTTGAGGTAGAGCACACCCTTACTAAGATTTTTCACTCAAGATAAAAGTTTATGGGTAGGTTCACACAAGAATATTAGCTAGGCTTTTTGGTAAAGCTTGCTAATTGAATTTTTTTTTCTTGCATCATAGATTTGCATGAAATATATTATATATCCAAGTTATTAATAAAAAATAAATATATCATAAGAAGGATTTACTTACCTCATACTTACTGGAGTAACTCTCAAGATTTTAGAGCCAAGTCCAACATAGGAAAATTCTTCTAAGTTGTCCAAACATTTAACTAGCATACTTCTTCCCAAATTTGCTCTAATACCAAATATGATGATGGAGAGTAGACTTTTGGTGAAATTAATGGATAGAAAGGGATATGGATCTTTATTTTAATATTAGAGAAGTGGCTTCGATTTTATGGTGGAATGATGAAGGGTTTAAATGGGTATATTAATAGAAATGCTAAGACTAGTTTAGTTTAGGCTGGTTTGGGTTGATACAAAAGATCACTTTAGAGAGCAACCTTTTTGTGAGATAAATGACTGCAAACGATGGTGGAAGGTTAAATTAGGATGTGAACTTGTGATATGGAGTTGATGGCAGTGTTTGGTGGAATTTAAGAGAATGTTGAAGTATAGGGAATAATACTAATTAAGTCCAAGTATTTCTTATTTGGGATGATGGTTATGTGGAAGTGTTTAAAAGTTTTATGATTTTGGTTATTAGTTTATTGGTCTCAGAGGATACTTATAAAGTAAAGAAAAAGTTGTGACTTATTTAGAGGAGGTGTTTAAGAGGATCTATGAATAATATAAGATAAATAAAAATAATTACCTAATCTCACCAAAGAAAAGATACACTTGAAACTATCAAGTACCAAGAAAATGAAGAGAACTTCTCCATAAAACTATTTCATTTAAAAATTAAAAATTATAATGCATATCAGTTCATATTTATAGTCATTACAAGACTAATTTAAAAAAAATAGAGGAAAAATGAGAGGATTTGTGGACATGAAAGAGAAGTTTAACCCACCCAAAATTTTAACGCTTCATCTCTACCTAACCATGTCATAACTGACCATACAAGCTTCTATATGACAAATAAAATGTTAATTATATTTAAAATATTTAAAATTATGGGCTCATTATTGGGTTATTGACTTGGCTCATTAATTAGCATTTTTCTTTGATATCTTCCTTGGGCTATGGTTTTAGCTCTTATAATTGAGCTTTTAACTTAATTATCTTCATCTATATGACATGCTACATCTTTTACCCTTCCCTCCCTTTATTCTCTCACTCTAGCTTGTTAAACTTGTTAATAGGGTAAGGTGTCGCTCATATATAGGAAATTCAAGATCCAACAATTATGCTCTCATTTTTTTTTATGCAATCATAAGAATTCTCTATTCAAACAAATATGTTCAAACATTTTTTTGCATATTGATTGTAAATATATTTATTTTTTATTTAGTATTCTATGCTAAAAATAAAATTTTATAACCACAAATATATTCAAAATTGATTTTCTTAAAATGAAATTTTGATCATAGATAAATTAATTAAAAACATTATTTGAACTTTTAAATATTGCTCAATTGATAATTCTAACACCCTTGATCGGAAGCTGAAACATGTTAGATGCTTGTGATACTATTCCTCTTTTATTAGATAGAGCCAAATTTTGTTTTTAAAATTAAACTTATAATATTTATATTACTATTAAAACTTGCTTGAATGTTTCTTCGAAAAAAAAACTAGAACTTTATTTTTTAAAAAATTCAGAAGCCTTCATTCAAAATGTCAATTCTTCATTACAAATTCAAGCATTTATCATATTAAAATATATCTTGTTAAGATTTGAAAATTAAACCCTCTAAATACAATTTAATTATAATTTTTTTTAAAATGTTTTTTTTATAATAATCATTAAAGTCAAAGTATAAGTTCTTATGCATTCTAAAATAATTCAAACATATTTTTGAATTTATTATTAATATTTAATATTAATCAGGTTAGTTATGGGGTTGAGAGATCGATCATTCATGTTATAAACTGAATTTTATGTTTTATTTGACATAAGAAAATTCATCTAATCAAAAACAAATGATAATGTTATTTTGTAATCTCAAAGCATTTGAATATTCACATAAAATATATCAAAATTGGTTATATGATCATCTGAACTTTGTATGAGATCTCCAAAATCTTCTCTTTTGATAATGTGATATGATGCTAAACTTATGTGCATTTTAATGTATATTGATACTCTTGAACCTCCTACATAACTTACTAGGGGTGTCAATTTTTGACACGACCCGAACCTGACCCGGAAAATCCGGGTTAGGGTCAACCAAGACCAGAAACGGGTCGGGTTCAAGTTCAACAAATCAACCCGTTTTGAAAATCGGGTCGGGTTCAGGTTGACCCAGTAACTCGAAATTGACACGAAAACTCATATTTGACCCGAAACCCGAGATTGACCCGTTTTTTACCCGAAAATCGAAGATTGACCCGATTTTTTACCCGAAAACTAGCAATTTTGGATCAATCCCGGGTCATTCGGGTCGGGTCGGGTCGACCCAGACCCGAATCAGGTCGGGTTTGAGTTCGAAAACCTGACCCGTTTTTAAAAATAGGTTGGGCTCGGGTTGACACGAATAGAGTAGGGTCAATTACGGGTTCGACCCAAACCCAACTCCTTGACCCGAATTGACACTCCTATAACTTACAATACCCAACAAAGCCAAAAGGGGCACAAAACAAAACAATGCATGTCTTCACAACATAAATTGTATTAATTAATTCTTTGTTAAGAACCTTGTAATAAGCCTATGATGCACTACATCGCTAAGGCTTTATGATATTTAAGAAAAAAATCAAATGACCAAGCAGAATCACTTTAAATTATTTGATGGAGTGCCCATAATTATGATAGAAATGATTAATGTACCCCCCTCGAAAATTCTATAAATAGGCTTTATATCTACATATTTATGGATGATTGGTTTGAGGAGAACATTATGGGACTCAAATCATTCCAAAGCTCTACTACTAGCACTTGATGTCGCCTCAAACATTGCTAATGACTATCATCAACCATCACCGATGCTCATTGTAAATCATCATTGAAGCTTGTCATCAATCGTCGTCGACATTCTTTATCGATGCCAATAGTTTTCACTTCTCGCTAATGCCTATGTCTGGTAACAATCGATGCCCGACATTGAATGCCGTCGATGTCCGACATCTTTCATAAATTGTAGAGTCATGGAAGTCAAATGAAGATAAATCTTATAGAAAGAGCCAGTATTTACACACAACATTTATAATAAATCATATTCGTTTGAGCTCATCTCTCTTTTAAAAAAAAATTATATTCCATCAACTTCCTCATTGTTGTTTGATGAATTGGTGACATCAAGACACCTCAAGCTAGCGCTCCTTACAGATATATCTTCAAAACTTTCAACATAGAATCTCTGCAACAAAACACTATCAATACTAAAACTTTGAGACTCCTCTGAATAAGATGATCTCTGAACACTTTTTGTCACTTGACATAGAGCTTCTTCTAGCTCTTTCACAACTTGCCTAATTGTTGGCCTGTTCTTTGGCTCCCAAGCAGTGCATCTAATGCCAAGTTGTGCCATTTTTAACATCATCTTGTTGTTACATGGTTCAAGTTGGAGACTTACATCAAGTATATCTTCAACCATTCCTCTTTCTACGCTCGGCTTAGCCTGATGAAATGAAATAAAATATTAAGGAATGCAAATCAAAATGGTTTCTAATGCATTAGTAATCAAACTCTTTTTTAAATTAAAAGCTAAAATAAAATTGAATTTTATTCTTTGAAACTCTATTCTAGATTACACTAGTTGTAAGTCGACAAAAAAATAATGGCAAGTTGAAAATACCTTTAGTGTTCTCTCTAAGATTATGAAGCTTGCATGTTTTTAATTTCTTCCTTTACATTATAGTTCTTTAACAAATGTTTTGATCCTAAGTTAGAAAAATACAGAGGGGTTGAAAAGCAAATTGAGTCGCTCAATAGGACAACTCAATAGGGCAGGTTGGAGCCAGTGGGGACACATACCGCTACTGCATTTGCCCTTGATCAATCTAAGCTAAAACTTATTGGTAGGTTTCTATCACAGGTAAGTCTACACTGATATATTTTTCAACTATATGAAGTTGGATCAAACAAAATGTGGTCATGGTTTAACAAATATCCCCCTCATATGATAGCCTTTGAGCATCATCAAGTGCTATGCATTAAGAGCTCACCCAACAATGTGATGGTGGTATGAAAGTCAACCATATTATATTTTGCTCAACCATGGTATTTGCCACGACCTATATGATCGAAAAAGCATATAAACTAATAAATGTCAACAAAATCATCGCCCTAATCTCACTTGTTAGAGACTATGGATCAAAGAAGGATCAAAATTGTTCCTAATGCTCTCATCATTTTTAGCCAATCCAATGTATGACTAAGCTAAGTAATCTCAAATACTTAATAAAAGAAAATTCAATCACCAATACTAAAACAAAGAATGTTATGGATTTGAAGTTAAAATAGTTGTATAACTTACCCAATTACTGATATGGTATTCAGATTGTCGTCTTGTATGATCAAGTGCAGGCCTTGATGAAACAAGCTGCAGAAGTATGACTCCAAAGCTGAATACATCACTGGAAGTAGTCAAGTGGAGGCTAGAACAGTAAGCAGGATCCATGTATCCAGGAGTGCCCTTAGCCTGTGTGCTGACATGAGAAGCATCACCATTAGGACCCTTCTTCACAAGCCCAAAGTCTGAAATCTTGGCCTCAAATTCATCGTCAATAAGGATGTTGCTGGGCTTCAAATCCCTATGTATTATGCTTGGTTCAACTCCATGAAGATGAGCTACACCTACAGAACCAACCATGACAATTATTATAGATTATGGTTCATCAAGACAGTGAGCGAATGGCATGTTAAATGACTAAGGCTTAGGCTTCGTTTGAGATGACTTTTTTACTGCTTTTTAAAGCAGCTTTCTAGTACAAAAATTTTTGTACTAAAAAGCTGTTTTAAGAAGCAGGAAATAAGCTGTCCCAAACGAAGCCTAAATATGATAAGCTATATCCTCATCTTAGCATATCTATCTAGACTTCCATGTATGTATTTTTATATAGCAATAACATCTGATACTAAGTTATATAAAGTTACCATGTTTCTGCTACATGTTAAGGGGTTGTTTGGCTGCAAGTAAGATTTTATTCAAGAAAGATTTAGTAAAATATTGTAAATCCTATAAACTGTTTGGCAAGATAGAAGTTTAATTTGGCTTGCTTCTAGTAAAATATTTGATAGATTTTGTGAAATTTAGGATTTAATTAAAGTTAAGAAGACTACAATGAGAAGAAAAGTTTAAATTTTATTTTCCACTCGAATTACAAGTTGCAATTAAATAAAATATACATCCTAATTGAAATGCAATCAAATATATCCTATTTAAATATCAATTCATACTAACATATACGATATTATTTTGTGTGGACAACGAACGCTGAGATGAATGCATCGTCCAATAAAAGAAGGGCAAGTAGAAAAAAATTACACATGGGCCTCAGGATCCATCATCAACTCCAGCCTTCTCTTATTGGATAGCAGACATATCTTCGTGCATTCAATGTCCGCACACAATAATTTTTCCACATAGACATATAATTCTAATTCAAGAATATAGGACAGTTAGACGGACAGTGTACCATATATTACTATCACATAAATCATTCTTTTATTTGCTTGGCATAAGAAATTTTCTTAAGCATGGTGCATAAAAGAACAGTTTTGAAGACTTGGGCCTTATTTGATTCATGTTTTCTTTTTATATAAAATAGATTAATAATTGTTGCAGAAAGTTTCTTTAGTTGCAAAGTAGCCATTTTCTCTCCTTCAGTTTGCCTTCTGAACTATACCATAGTCTGCCACTGAACTAAACCATAGTAGCACCGAAATTAAGAAGTTAACAATGAAGCTGTCTTTCAACATCTTTCACTTTAAGCTTATAAGATAATGAAAAAGACAAAATTAATCAAAAAAAGACTCACCTTTTGCTGATCCAATAGCTAGGTTTACTCTTTGCTGCCAAGTTAAAGGGTTTCTTTCTTTTCCTACATAGTGTTTTGATAGGTTAAATTAAGCGATGTGTTGATTTATAGGAATAGGGGAAAATTTGGGAGGAAGATAGTCATACCAACAATGTATTCGAGTAGACATCCTTGTGAGACATACTCATACACCAATATCTTGTGCTCTGCATAATGCCATTGAAGATCCCATTGAAGTGTTTATTTAAAAAAAAAACAATATCTTTCAAATTTAGAAAAAAATAAACTTTTCATCCTCAATTTTGACGTTATCTTTAACAATTTATAGAATTTTTCTACTAAAATTTTATTGATATTTGTTTGAATATTTTTTAGGATACTTCATGGTGTTAAAAAACATCCATTTAAAAAGAATTGATAGCCAATGTGTAGAACTCCTTGTAAGTGGATGAAAAAGAAAGATTTGCTAAGGCTTTGTTTGGGACGGTTTTCTTATTGCTTCTTAAAGCAGCTTTAATTTTTGTACTAAAAAACTACTTTAAAAAGCAGTAAGAAAGCCGTCCCAAACAAAGCCTAAGACACATGTGAAAAAGTTTATTATCACCCAAATCTTTGTTTTAAGAAATAGACTAATTAGGAAGAATTTCAAGTCATCCTTACTAGCTTCAGAACAGTAGCCAACCAAACCCACAAGGTTCTTATGCTTGACTCTAGAAAGCAGCTCAACCTCTGATACAAACAAAACAAATTCTGTCAGCCATAGCAAGTATTTCATAGAGAAACACTAAAAAATATTAAAAAAAGGATCATCAATCTAACCATTTTTGAATTCCTCCGCACTCTCATTAGACTCGGAATGAGCTTTCTTGATGGCAACTGTTCTCTTCTCATCTCCCAAAACTCCTCTGTAAACATTCCCAAATGCTCCAGAGCCAATCAATCTCTCATCACTAAATGAATCTGTGGCCTTCTTCAGTTCATCAAATCGGTATCGCCTCACCTCCATCGTATTAACATCTGCAACATAATTCAGCATCACCACAATTCATACGAGAAGAACAACAAATCTTCACCAAAAAAAAAAAAAACAAAGAGAAAAAAATATCATTTAACCTTTCTTGAGATGTTTTTTCCTTAAGCAGCCTTTCTTGATGGTGAAGAACACAAGAAAACCAATGAAGATTCCTGCAGCGCTTACTCCTATGGGTGCTTCTTCTTTGAACAGGTATCTTGCTGTCATTCTTCTGCTTCAGAGGTTATTTGCTCAGTTCCACTTCATCTCCATGGCTAATTTCTTCTCTACTAGAGAGTGAGAGAGAGAAAAATAAGAATTCAAATAGATGAAGAAATAGAAGCTGGTCTACTTGTGTGTAGAATATGACATGGAGCTACTTGTACAAAGCTATATATTACTGTACATTTGCAATCAAGTATTATTACATTCTCTTCGGAATGAATTAAAAAAAAAAAAAGAGGACATAACTCATCTTGATCTATTGATTGGGAGCTTAGTCTACCTACTAAGAGGTCTTGAGTTCGAGTCTTGTGTATGCGATGTGTGTGTGAATCTGTCTTAATTGACCTAAATGTCCTAAAAAAAAGCTAATAGTTGATAATCAACAATTTAACTTTGAATATGATAGCAAAATTAAAAATTTCAGGCATCTTATAAGAAAAATAATGTTTAAATAATTTATACAAACCAAGACATGATAATTCACATGAGCCTCCATTTGTCTAATTTATGAAGTAATTTCTCCTGTCTGCAATTGTTCTTCCTCCATTTGGCTTGGCCATGATCAGTTGCAAGTCATAGTCTAATGGAGGCCGGCAATACGACAGCAACAAGCAGAAAATAACAAATGATCTCTTCTAAGCAATGATATACATGTATATATTTTTCTCTAGCACTGCATGAAGTTGCTAAGATGAAGAAGCAAAGAAAGGGAAAAAAAATGGTAGTAGATTGAAAACTAGCCTACTAAAAGAACAATTGAAATGGTCAGATCAGTTGACTTCAGCTCTGAATACTAAGAAGCTACAAGGATTACTTTGTTGTCTTATTGATGCTTGTTCTTATTCACCAATTAGTTTTAACTGACAGTTAATGTCATGAAGGGGGTTTTAAAAATTGGGCAACTTGCAGCGAATTAGTTACTTTTTTGTATGTTTAATGAAGTTAAAGTTATTTTCTAGTGAATCAAATGGCAAAAAGTTAGTTTTGTATGTTAGATAGGAGCTCTCCACTCGCCCATCTTTGAGAATAATGAGAAAAATACTTTGAGGGACTATGCTAAATATCTGGCCTCTTTCTCTTGCCACCAACTTTTTCTCGAGCTTAGACTTGGCTTCGTTTGGGACAGCTTTTTGATTACTTTTGTGATAAGAAAACAAGTTAGTAGAAAAATAATGTGTTTGGAAGACAGCTTTTTTACTTTTTTTATTTTATTTTTTTTGCCTTAAAGAAGTTCGAAAAAACAAAACAATTTTAAAATTGTTGTTGAGGAAGGAGCTTCTAAAAGTAAAAATAGAAAAGTTTAAGCAGCGCCAATCATAGCTATAGGCTTTGTTTCGGGTGGTTATAGCTTTTTGTAGAAGTGATTGTAGAGATGTTATAAAAATATCAACTTTTTAAAAAGCTACTATGTGCATTAATTTTTTTTAATTGAACACGCGGGCTACTTCATTAATAAATAAGGTTGTGAAAAATAACTTCCTATCAATTAAATTTTTAGAGAGTAATGAAAAAGTAACAAGAAAATGATAGCCAAATAAAAAAAAATATTTGATGTTTGAAAAACAAACCAATTAGAAAGCTGCCCCAAATAAACTCATAAGCTTGAGGCTTAAAACATAGGGATTAAATCAAAGTGAATTATTGAGAATTCAATGATAATATAAGATTGGTTGAGTTTGGTTAGGGGTCCTAATTTGTAATTTATAATTCATACCCCTAAAGTAATGATTAAGGTTTTATTTGTGACGGCTTTCTTTCTGCTTCTTAAAGTAACTTTTTTTGTACTGAAAAGCTGACTCGAAAGCTGCTTTAAAAAATAAAACAAAAAATCGTCCCAAACGAAGCCTAAATTTTCTGCAATCTATTATAAAATAGTGTACATCAAAGCTTTTTTAGATTCTATGCTGATAAGAGCTTCATAAAATAAATCGTAAAAATTAAATATTACTTAATTATTTTCAATGTTTTTAAGAAAGAAAAGATGACCTGGTATGAGCAAATAAAAAAAAATATAGTTTCTAATGTAAAAAAAAATGGTATATTTTGTGGGAAAATAATTTATATATTCCCAAAACAACTTTAGGATTGCTTAGGGGTGTCAATTCGGGTCGACAGGTCAGGTTTGGGTTGAACCTGAGTTGACCCGGTTCTAAACGGGTCAACCCGAACCCAACCCGTTTTTGCAAACGGGTCGGCTATCTCAACCCGGACCCAACCTGCGCGGGTTGCCCCGTTGACACGACCCAACCCGGTTTTACGAGATTTGGCCGACGGCGAAGCACCAGTAGCGGCGCGCGCAGCTGCAGAGGCGACATCAGGGAAGGCTCGAAGCAGTAGTGCGGCAGCAGCGTCGCTAATGTTGAACTGACAAAGCCCTAAGCGACACGCAGGAACTTAGCGACAGGGCGCGAGTAGACCAGGAGGCACCGCGACAGCGGCCAGCGGGCAATCGACACACGTCATGACTGAACCCGAAGAGACGTGCTGCCACAGCGACAGCGGGCACGCGTCACGACTCGCTAACGGAGAAGAGACGCGACTTGACGCGTTGAGTAACACGTGCAGCCGGGAAGTCGATGCGGGCATGGACCATTTTCTGGTCATTTTCGGGTTCCAGGGTCAACCCGAACCTAACCCGATTTTTGAAACGGGTCGATTTCTTGAACCCGACCCAACCCGTTTCACAAACGCGTCGACCCGAACCCGGATTTTTCCGGATCGGGTTTCGGGTCGTGTCAAAAATTGACACCCCTAGGATTGCTCTAGCTATTTTTGTTTTGTTTTTGTTTTTTGTTTTTTGTTTTTTTTTGTTTTTTAAAGCTAAAAAAAAATTAGAGAAATTGAGCGAGCGTATAATATGAATTACAGTTGTTGAAAAAGTCATTGTAGACTCAAAGGGAGAGAGTCAGGAAGTCCGAACTTATTGTAGATAACATGTTTTTAGAGCAGTTATTCTGTCTTTTCCCTCTTCTTTAATATTCTCTAAGGAATTGTTTGGGAAAACTGCAACTTTCTATAAATATGTGAGAAAAAAGTAACTATTTTGAAAGCTACTATAAAAAACAATTTCTTAGCATATAAATTTACTGAAAGTAGCTAAAAAGCTACTAAAAAATGGATTTCACAACATTTAATTTAATCTACAACCACCACAAAAAAATTTCCAGAGGTCACGAATTCGGTGCAAAATCGTCATCATTGTTATTTGCTGCAAACGATTTCGCAGGTTTTGCAACCACTGAGAAAGAAAAATTGTAGCGCTAGTTTTACCAACAATTAAAACAACTGCTAGAAGTGGCAGTTTAAACCACCATTGAGGCTTCGTTTGGGACGGCTTTCTTACTGCTTCTTAAAGCAATTTTATATTATAAAAATTTTATTTGTTGTACTAAAAAACTACTTTAAGAAGCAGAAAGAAAGCCGTCCCAAATGAAGCCTAAATCTCCAGTGGTTTAAACCGTCACAAAATTATAAGATTTTTTTTTAAGCTGTTGAATATTCACAATAGGAAACATCAAGTTTTTGGTAGTGGGAGTAAAAGATCAAGAGGTAAGAAACTCCTAAATATTATCTAAGACAAATCTTGCAAAATATTCCAATCTGTCCATAGTATTAAAAATATTGTTACAAAATATCTTGAATAAAATTTTTCCATTGAAGAGGCTTTCAACATAAATTGCACCAAGTTTAGAAGTTACAACTTGATTGTTCCAATACAAAAAGATGAGCAATAAGAGTTACGTAATAAACAAAATGCTGAGTTTGGAAATAAGGCAATAACATGCATATCAAATAAATACAGCAGATTGTATTTCTTACAATGTTCCATATTACATAAAGATCTAAGCATATTGACAATAACTGCACTATGTTCCTTTGAGGCATTGAAACAAACAATTAAAGTGCAGCAATCTGCTCCCTTAAGATCATCAACCGTTAAACCAAGGGAATTTCCACACCTGCAAGCTGCTTTTAAAACCATCCCAGATTCATTGTCCAAACCAGCAAAATCATTCAATGACATATCAACATCCACACTCGGGACATTGCGAATTGATTCACTGACCTGTTCATGGAACTGGGCGGGGCGGACAACTCATGACTAGGAAGGTCAAGAAACGGGAGCTTCATCACGCACGCAGCTGTACGCATTGGCCAAATTGTGGAAGTCGACCTGCTATTTTGGCTGGAGTTCGTGCTCTCACCATTACATGATCCACACGAGCAGCATCGGCCAATTCTAAACCTTCGCTTCACGCAGCGTCGTCCAACATTGCTTCATGGTCGAAAATGGCAGCATCGGCTTCCCCGTCGCTTGCTTCCTGTTCGGTTCCAGAGGAATCCACCCGATCACAGTCCATACCAGCAGTAGCGTTTGGCTCGGGCTCATGATCGTTACTGTTGGCACCTAAATACTGATTATATCAAAGCAAGTTGAAGTTTTTTAAACCTTCCTCAGATTGTGATACATTATATAGCATCTAAGCATTTAAAGCACAATTAGAAACTTCATGACTTGAGAGGGAAAATAACATCAATCCATTTTGTATCTCGATGAGAAAATTCACCGAGTTTGATCAATCCATTTTGATGCTATTATGGTATTTAAATGCCTAAAAAATGATCTATAATTGAGGAAATCAACATGGATCATTTGATAGAGTATTGAGAAATTTGGCTTAAATTATTAAATTATAATTCCATAAAATTATATGTACTTCATGTTGCATCCTGGAAAATTCGCTTCGGTAGAGATATATAAAGTATCGTA